CCCTGCTGGCCATGGCCCCGACATGAGGCTGAGGGGAGTGTGGGGGCACTGCGGCCCTGCCATCCATCCCCGTCATGGCCCTGCTGTGAGGGGAGTGTGGGGGCACTGCAGCCCTGCCATCCATCCCCGTCATGGCCCTGCTGTGAGGGGAGTGTGGGGGCACTGTGGCCCTACCATCCATCCCAGCCATGGCCATGGCCCTGACGTGAGGCTGAGGGGAGCATGGTGTCACTGTGGCTCTGCCATCCAACCCAGTCATGGCCCTGCTGTGGGGCTGAGGGGAGCATGGTGTCACTGCGGCCCTGCCATCCAACCCAGTCATGGCCCTGCTGTGGGGCTGAGGGGAGCGTGGTGGCACTGTGGCCCTGCCCTATCCATCCCAGCCATGTCTCTGCCATGAGGGGAGCACAGTGGCACCATGGCGCTGCCATGAGGGGAGTGCGGCAGCACCCCACCCTGCCCTGGACAGACCCTCATGCCTGAGCGCGGGCCCGGGGCGGCCATGACTGCACTTTGTTCCTTAGGCTGAAGTCCCTGGTAGGTGGTTTTTGTGTCCCAGGTGTGTTATTTAACTAGCAGTGTTGTGGTTCTTGCGGGGCGGCAGTAGATGTCCCGAGTCTGATTTGCTTTGCGTGGCTGGGCTGCGAGGTCTGTGGGGACGGGGCTGGTTGTGCCGGGAGGCCGTGGGAAACGCTGGCTGCTGCCCACTGTACCGGCCATCCTCCTCCTCCTCTTCCTCCTCTGGTGTTGTCTCTGTAATGTATGGTGAGATGCCGTCAGCTAGAGTGTCTGAGTGGGTCCTCGTGTGTGCTGGTGATGCCATGTAGATGAAGCCACTGGTTGGGTGTGGACTCATCCTGTTGAATAAACTGCTTAACTTTTCTCAAAAACGTTGTCTGTGGTTTCAGAAGATTTGCTGTCTCTTGCCTGTGTCTCCTCCCCACACCCTCCTCTGCCCCACAGCATCCTGCCCTGGGCAGTACAGACACTGTCTCCTGCCCCTGCAGCCGGGCTCTGGGTGCTGTTTATGGGTGCTGAGGGGATCAAAACCATTCTAAACAAACAGCCCCAGAGCCCTTCGCACTCAGGCTGTGAAGAACTGCGCTGGACTCTTCAGGCTGGGTTATGTCTCTTCCCATTGTTTTTGTTTTTTTTTCTTTGCTGCTGGGTTGTGGCTTCACTTCCCTCCCATCTTGGCGGCAATGGAGAGACAGAGACCGCCCCGATTCCGTCCATCATCCATCCCCGAGGTGGGGCAGCTGCAGACACAGCTGGTGATGCTCGAGCCGGGGTCTGCGTGGGCCACGGGCAGGGGGAGGGCTGGGCAAGCTGCGGGTGGGGCTCGACCTGCATCACCCCGTCCTTAATTACCCCTCCTTAAATATGTTAATGGGCTCAGCCTCAGGGCCGGTGAGTGCCGGGTGGGCTCCGGGCTGCCACGCCCGTCCTGGTCACCACGCTCTCCTCAGCACCGAGAGCAGCTGGCAGCGGTTCTGACCCGGCCCGGTACCCACCGCGAGAGCATCCTGGGCACCGCCCGGGGGAGAGCCCGGGGGTGGCTCCGGCAGGTCTCTGGGCAGCGGGTGCGTGTGGAGGAGCGGGGTTTGGCCAGGCCCTGGAGGGGCTGTGCCAGCTGTGCGGGACACTGTGGGGCCTCTGCGGAGTGTGCGCCGGGTGTGTGCCAGGTGTGCGCCGGGTGTGTGCCGGGTGTGCGCCAGGTGTGCTCGGTGCCCGCTCGTGCCGCAGTGCCCGCCCGCCGCCAGCAGAGGGCAGCAGCGCCCTGCGCCCGGCCGGGCCGAGCGACCCGCCAGGGAAGGGGGACCGGACCTTTTTCCTTTTCCTTTTTTCCTTTTTCCTTTTCCTTTTCCTTTTTTCCTTTTCCTTTTTTCCTTTTTCCTTTTCCTCCGGGCAAAAGTGCTGCAGGGGCTGCCACTGACTGATTGAACTGAAATTAATACCTGATACTCTCCAGAGAGTCCAGTTACCCAGGTGAGGTGTAAAAATCATTAACTCTGAGCGTGATCAATAAATTGAATGTAATTACTAACTTCTGTGGGCCGATTGCAGCATTTGCATTTGAGTTACCTTTGCACGCTCCGCCGCGTGTGCTGGTTTCAGCAGGAATTGCTTTTCCCTGGGGAGTGTGAGCACTGGGGGCTCACGGCGTGCCTGGCACCGCGGGATGCTGCTGGCCGGGGGCACAAGGCAGAGCCAGGCTGGGGCACGGACCCCAGACTGAGCAGGGACCGGCTCCTCCCATCCCGCTGCAGGGATCAGGGCAGGGAATTGCCCCAGTGAAAACCTGCCGGAATGCAGACACAGACAGAGAGGGCTGCGTGGCGATGCTGCCCCAGGCAGCCCTGCTCTCTGCAGCTGAGGAGGAGCAGCAGAGCCCTTGCTGTCAGCGCTGGCAGTGCTGCCCAGGGGCCGGGGCAGGGCAGGGCTGCAGGGTGACAGTGCCTCGGGTCTGCCTCAGCAGCTCCTCAGTGAACACCGGAACCCTCCGAGGCGATGGAAGGAGCCCTCAGCCTCCTCCAGCCATCTCTGCGGTAGCTGGCTGCCAGGCAATGGCCTGGGGATGACTTGCCTTTAGCTTGGATTGGTGCAGCAGCTCAGTATGGATGGATCCAGGGGCCACTCACTGTGTGTGCCCCGCGGGGCACCTAAGGGCACTCTGGCACCACTCACACTCATAGCTAATGAATGAAAAAATGACATAGAAATGAAATATAAAGGAAATGAGGCAGAACTTAGTGATTAGTGCTTTGAACCTGGACTCAAAGTGAAGCAAGTGCTCTAGTCCTGCTGACTGAATCAAATAATCCAAATTGCTAATACATTTTAGTAATTTTTTTTCATGTGCAAAGACATTAAAGAGCTTTTAGTGAATGAGGGTAAGATTTTCCATTGATATTTAAAACTAAACCAGAGCTGTGTGCTGTGGGTGCCCAGAGCCTGCTGTGGGCTCGTGGCTGGGGCTGTGCATGGGCATCCTGGCTCTGCCCCGGCAGTGACATCTATGCACAGCCATGGGAGCCAGCATGGAGCCCAGGGTGCAGAGAGGGGCATTCCTTCCCAGTGGGAGCCAGGGCCATGTGGGATGGTCTGGGCCACCCCAGCATCCCAGCTCAGAGGGATTTTGCAGCCCTGCTGCTGTTTCAGCTCAGATGTGGCTGCAGATCCCTTTGGGCAGCAGCTCTGTCTTGCCTGGAGTTCCCCACTCTTGTGAAGTTTGAGAGATGCTCTGTTACATTGGCTTTTGGAGGGTGGATATGAGTTGCTAAGGCTGTAGATTTATGGCACCCTCATTGCTTGTGGCTGCACCATGCCCTGCCAGGCCATTTAGGGCCCTTTTTCCTGCCTGATCCGCTCTGTGGCACCCTCGGCTCTGGGGCTGCCCAGCAGCTCAGACCCCAGCACGTGGCAGAGATTTTCCTGTGCTGTGTGCGTGGGTTTGGAGGCAATCCCTGCAGCATGTGTCTGATTTCCTGTGCAGAGGGGAAAACGCTTGCCAGATGAGACTGATTCTTGAAACCGGCCAAGTGTTTTTCAGCTGTCAGCTCCCCTGGCCCTGCCCAGGGATAGCTCATCAGCCGTGGGAGGGACAGTGCTGGCACCAGCCAGCGCTGCTGTGGTTTGCTGCATTCTGAGCTTGGTTTCAATTTTAGTATTTTCCTTTGAATGTTTGGCTCCCTGCTCCAGCACAAGCCAATGCCCCCATGTCCCTGGAGTGGAGCCCCTGCCCTGGTAATTCAAGTGCTGGTGTGGTGGGTGTCCGGAGTGTTCCAGGTGCCCCCGGCTGTGCCCAGCCCCTGCCCGCCTCAGGCTCCAGCAGGACCTGCAGCAGGCAGGGCTCAGGGAGCCCTGGGAGGCTGAGCTGTGTCCTGTGCCTGAGCTGGCTGCAGGCACACAATGAAAACAGGAGTATTTACCCAACTTTTGATAACTTTTTTATTTCCCCGTTAATACACACCTACAGCCTCACTATAGGAACACTGGAAACCAGACTTCAGCAGGCCTGAGAGACTGCAGCGTTATCTATCTTCTGTAAATACTGTGGAGCATTTGGAAACCTTTTTATGATCCCAGCTCAGCTGGAAAACAGCACCACATTCCTGCTGCCCTTTGGGATCACTTCCCTTGCTTGGGGTGTGGGAGGCAGCAGCTGTTGAAACATCTTGGTTTAAGTGTTTCAGGAGATAAAAGTGTAATTTGCTGGATTTTAAATATCTTGTGCATCAGATCAGCACAAGCATTGCAGGTAAACCAGCCTTGCTTTGTTCCACAGAGATGCTTCCGTCCTCCCCAGGAATCTTCCAGAGACTTGTGCTTGGGGTCCTTGATGCTGCAAAGTCAGTGGAGGTTTGTGTGTTGGAAATGAAGCTTCAGCTCTGGAACAAGGCTTATTCCAGGCCTTTAAATCTA